TGTGGATTTCACGTCAAAGCCTGTCTGATGATGCTTGTCGGAGGGGGGGGAGGGGGGGGGAAACTTTTATTTCTACCGTTCTGTGAGTTGATTGGTACAAAGTCAGTCGTCGTTGTGTCCTCGTCTTTCTTTGGGTACACCCACACCAGCGTCGGGGCCGACGGTCAGACTGGGCCATTTTCCGATTCAAAAGAATGAACGCCGGCAGAACTGTAACGACGGGTAAGGAAGAACAGCAACCTGCCCACTCCAACACCGGACATCCCAGACCAGACTGTTTAGGAATGAGCTTGTCTATTCCACGCCATCCGTCAGGCGAAAGGAGGATAATTTTCATAGATCTTGCCTCGATAAATTCTTTCTCCTTACCTGCCACGGTCTGTTGGTTTTTGTTTTTAGAGAGTTTTACGGCACTTACCGCTTCGAAAGCAGACGACAGAACATTAGAGCATGAAAAGAGGTGAAAAGAGACAATTTTCCTTGGCTGTCAAGTTTCGAGCCCGGGATCTATTGAATGAGAGTCGAACAACGTAGCCCCCTAGACCATGAGAGCTCCCACCCCCCCACCTTTCCTAAGCACAACAAGAACGACAACTCTCTCCTCCTGCTACACGCCGTGTTCTACTGTTACACTGAGGTTGTCTGACCGTCGGGTACCTGTGGCAGTAGTGGGTGGTTGGCGGGTGCTCTGGTGTGGTTTGCTTCTTCTTTCCTATCAAACATCTATCGTCCTTATCTCCCCTTTTTCTTCTTTCCTATCAAACATCTATCGTCCTTATCTCCCCTTCTTCTTTTTTATGTTTGTTACTCTCTTGTAACACCTCTAATCTTCTGGCGCTCATATGACCTTCTGCAGTTGCGAGCACCGTAAAACCTCTACTAAAACTTTTTTTTTAAACTGTGGGCACCCGTTCAGATCCTCATCCGGACAGAACTGTTTGTAATCACTACACAATCTTCATATTAGCAGGGTGAGAATGGGTACTCGACCCACCAGATTTTGCTGAAACGTCACTGGCTCTGGAATGGCGTAACTAGTGCTTTCTTTGGGCTTCCGTAACCCTGGTCCTCTCAAGGGATGAGGCGCCCTCGCTGGTGTTGCATTGCTAGGTGGGACGCTCTTGCACCACTTGAGTTTCCCGTGGCCTTTGGTTGAACCCAAAGCTCTTCAATGAGAGTGCCAGTGTCTGTGTGTGTGTATATATATATATA